TTGTTCTTTATCTGCTTATCTCGGATTTCGATATCTCCGTAAATAACCTGAGCCTAGCCGAGATCATCTCAGCGCATGACCAAGCCACGTGGCACCTCGGCTGACACTTCGGCATTACCTTAGCCACGTGCTGTCATTCACAAAATACGTCCCTACAGTGAGTAAGAAGAAAAATAAGAAGATAATAAAACAAAAACTATAGAAGATCTATTGCAATATGCTCTTGAATCAAAGTTATACAAGCTGAAGCAGAAATTGTCTTATATGTTGTGAAGTTCAAAAAAAACAATATACCTCATGCACACATTTTAGTCAAATTACAAAGAAAAAATCAAATGATACCCAAACATTATCGCAACAACTCAATGATGTAGAAAGTAAGTATATCAAATAAAAAATTCCGATCTATTTTTGTCATATGTTGATTACAAACAGATGACATAATAAATTATATAACTTTATAGTTTCATGAAAGTGATCATGTGAACATTTATATGCATGGATCTATAAACATCGTGAAAATGATTATGAAATTCCTATATCGATCAAAATATTAAGGTACAATATCATTCCATTTTCTAAAAAAATTATTCCACATTTTTTACATAAATGAAAATATACTAATGGCTAATATTATATTTTTTACCATACAAGATATTCGTGACACAGGAAACGAGACTCAACAACCCTTGATGTATAAAAATATATTGCATATTGATATTAATGCATTTTTACACCAATAATATGCAATAGTAGGTTCAATGAATTTGTATTATGAGATGAACTACTAAACAAAATTGTATAATTGTGTAATTAATTTCATACCTTCAATTGTATTACAGATATGGATTATGAAAAATTGAAGTAAGAAATTGATAGAAAATGATTTGGGTAACACTATATATTTAAATGACTTGTTTATTGTTTATTATTTGAGATAAGATTGTGATCTCAACAATCTAATTATAAATTAATAATTATATTTTTAAAATCTCTCGTTTATCCTTTAAATTATTCAGCCGAGTAAGTATTCCTTTTTTACTTAGCTGTATTTTGGATACAGATTAATTTACCCATGCAAGTGTCCATATTTTGTATACATATCACATGCTAATTTAAAAGACACATATAATTATAGTATTAACAATTGATGAAAAATCACATGCCACGTGCAATGCACATGCCCAACCACTAGTAAATATAAACAAACCGTCTCTCATGCCATGTTTTCTACTTTTTCGAAATTTTAATTTTACCCTCACAAATCTACTATATTTTCTAAAAGTCATGAAGAGTCCTACATAAACCACCTATCTCTTTATTTTTGAAGTTGAACACTAAAAAATGATATATTTGCTTCCAAGAGTCCTATATAAATATAAATAAACCGTCTCCCTTCTTATCAAAATAAAGAAATAACAAAGTCACCTCCATATTTTTTACATTGATGATAATTGAAGAATGAAAAATAATTACTCTTTCTTATTTTTTGTGTATGCTTTTATATCGATATACATAATATTTACAATTGTCCATTGTGGATAAATCACTGTGAATAATATTAGTTGAATCTTAAAGTTGTTTGCATTCGTTCGAATCTAGACAAAGAAAACTGAATGCGTTTTTAAAAATAGAGATTTGTACTGTATCTCAAAAATTCGCAGGTTATCTTTATACACTTTCTTTTTGTTTAAATTATATTTTATGGACTGTAACATTTTACATGGTACTTTAATAACCAAGGTATGATATCAAAATTCTAAACAAGAATCATTTTCGTTGGTTTTATTTTTTAAATCTGTTTTTCCGTTTTTGATTTTTCATATTTTCTCAGTTTTGGTGATTAAAGATACTAAAATTTCTTCATATTTTACATTTAAATTATACTTTTACTTGAAAATATAATATCTAGTAATGTAAATAGAATTTTAAAAAATAAAATATTGGTAGAAGAATTTATAAATTCTTTTTATTATTATATTTTTTTTGTTATTATTATTATTTAATATTAATGATTTTTTATTATTATAGATACTATTTATTATTATATTTTTTTTGTTATTATTATTATTTAATATTAATATTTTTTTTCAAAAAGAATACACAACTAATTATTTTTTAAGCATATTTAGATTAAGTAAATTTAAATCTAAAAGTAAAATTAAAAATAAAAAAGTATTAAATTAAGTGAATTTAAACAAAAAATAAAAGGATTTTTATAAATAAAAAAAAACAGTGTCAAAAACCAAAAAAAAAAATGAATATAAAAAAATTCAAAATAAAAAGTTTAAAAAAGCAAATCAAACCAAACACCATATACTTCTCTCTTTTTAAATCTTTCTTCGCTAATTCTAATTTTACATAAATCATTCACAAAATCTTTTCAATTTTTATGTAAATTTAATAATCTAATTAAAAAATGGTGCATACACACAAAAATGTAACACTAAACATCTACATTATGACCAATTATTTAATTATGAATAATTAATTTCTCATTGTTACCTGTATTATATTGTTGCAAAAGATTTAACATATTACTTTTGTGATACTATATATATATATATATATATATCAATGTCTACATATATAAATATATAAAATATATATATAAATGTAAATTTATATATGTTACTGTATTCATACATTGTCAATCTGTAATGCTATATTACCATAAGATATTTTAATTTTCTAAGATGTATCGCTTTAGTAATATAGTTATATTTGTTACAAAAAATTATAGAATTGTATATTGTTCTCCTATCAACTTATATTCAATACATATATACATACATGTCATACAAATAAGTATTCACAATAAATATTTTTAATAACAAATCAAGACTTTGCAAAACACCTCCATCACAATAATAATTGTACTTTTTTTCCCCTCACAAAAAAAAAAAAAAAAACATTATTGGAAAATGAATTTTGAAACTTATAATAATATGATATCGCATCAAACTCTCTCATCAAAATATTTTTATTACAATGAGTTATAATGGTGAGTAAGAAAAAAAATAAGAAAATAGTGAAACAAAAATTACATAAAATCTATTGCAACATGCTCTCCAAGCAAAGCTAAGCGAGCTGAAGCAAGAATTGTCTTATCTATTGTGAAGTTCAAAAAAAACAATATATCTCATACACACATTTTAGTCAAATTACAAGGGAAAAAAAAATCAAATGATACCCAAACATTATTATAGCAACTCAATGATGCAGAAAATAAGTACATCAAATAAAAAGTTTCAATCAATTTTTGTCATATGCTGATTACTTACAAATGACGTAATAAATTATATAACTTGACAGTTTAATGAAAGTGATCCTACAAACACTTATAAGTATGAATCTATAAATATCGTGAAAACAATTATAAAATTCCTATATCGATCGAAATATTAAACTATAATATCATTCAATTTTCTTAAAAAAAAAAAAGAAAAAACTATTCTACATTTTCTACATAAATGAAAATATACTAATGACTAATATTATATTTTTCATCACATTAGATATTCGTGGCATAGAAAATGAGACTTCACAACTTTTGATGTATAATAATATATTACATATTAATATTAATATATTTTTACACCAATAATATGCAATAGTGGGTTCAATGAATTTGTATTATGAAATGAACTATTAAACAAAATTATGTAATTGTGCAATTAATTTCATACCTTCAATTACATTACAGGTACGGATTATGGGAAAATTGAAATGGGAAGTTGATAAAAAAAAAAATTGTGTAATAGTGGGTTGTTTGGGATGAACTATATAAGTACGTTTTTTGACTTTTTGTCTAAAAAAGTAAAAGAAAAAAAAGATGATTGTTTAGAATAATTTTTTGACTTTTTATGAAAAAAATGTATAGTAAATATTGTATAAAATACCAAAATTACCAAACTACCTTTCTGTGTACTGACATACTTTCCGTGCAAGTCAATAAAGGTAGTGTGTTGGATTGTGCTACACTAAGTTGCACTGTTGGAAATCCTTTTGCTCTTTGACTAATCAGCCCCAGTTTCCCGTCCAAAATTTGTGAATAGTATAAACTTTTTAGCTTTTATAGTGACTTTTTGTATTTTTTAAGTGATCCCAAACAAATCTAAAGAACATGTTTATTGTTTATTATTTAAAATAAAATTGTAATCTCAACAATCTAGTTATAAATTAATGTTTATATTTATAAAATTTACCAATTATCATTTAAATTATTTAGCCAAGTATGTATTTATTTCTTACTTAGTTGTATTTTGGATACGGATCAATCTACTCATACAAGTCTCTATACTTTGTATACATATCACATAGCAATTTAAGAGACACTCATAATTACAGTAAGAACAATTGATGAAAAATCATATGTAATGTGCAACGCCCGTACCTAACAACTAGTAATTTAGAAAATAAAGTAATCACTTTGCTTGGTTTCTCTTTTTCAAAAATACTTTTCAGAAAATTTCACTTTCTTGTTTTCCATATTTTTTTTATTTTTACTGAATTTTTTTAATATTTTAAGCAATTTTTTTTTTTACTTTTTAGGCATACCTAACATAAACATACCTAAAAAGTAAAAAAATTGCAAAAAAAACCTTTTAAAAATTCACTAAATACCAAAAATATAAAAAAAATTACTAGAATTCAGTATATTTTTTATAATTTTATATATTTATTAATTTTTTAAAATATTTTTTAAAATATTTTTATTTTTTAAATATATCTAAGTAAGGTGCATCTAAAAAAGTAAAAAAATTATTTAAAATTTTAAAAATATTTACTAAAATAAAAAAACACGAAAACCAAAAAACTCATTTTTCAAAAAACTTAATTCAAAAAACTCAAACCAAACACACTATACTTTTTAATAATTTAAAAGGTCCATTTATATATTTTTATTATTTAAGGACTTAAAAGTGATATTTTTTACTAATTTAGAGGTATTCTTGTAAATAACTCATTTAAATTTAAATCCAAATTCAATTCCCTCCTCCTCACTCTCTGCACTGAGTTGTTTCTCCAATGACGACCACAAACACCGTAATGACCACCCCTACCAAAACCCCTTCCAGAAAGCACCACCAATCAACAGGTCCATCAATGTCCGATCGATCGGCTTCCGATTTCAAGACCCGATTTGAAGCCTACAATCGTCTTCAGGCGGCGGCAGTCGCGTTCGGGGAGAAACTCCCAATCCCTGAGATCATCGCCATTGGAGGCCAGTCCGATGGAAAGAGTTCACTCCTCGAAGCCCTTCTGGGGTTCCGATTCAACGTTCGTGAGGTCGAAATGGGCACCAGAAGACCTCTCATCCTCCAAATGGTCCATGACTCAACAGCATTAGAGCCTCGCTGTCGGTTTCAGGTTCTTCCAAGGATTTCTAGTTTTTTTAATGAATTTCTGTGTGTTTATCTAGGGTTTATAGTGTTTGTGAATTTTGGGGTTTTGGTTGTGAAATTTTGGAAAGTCAGGGTTTGATGCTACTTTTGGAATATAAATTGCAATTTAACATTTAAATTTTTGGGCATTTTGATAAATGTGGAAAACCGTTTAACAATTTTAAAACGAGGAAAACTGTAACAGTTTTGGGTAGTTTGATGAATGAGAAAAACTGTTTAGCAATCAATCTATATATCTATTCTATTATATAAAGCACACAACTCACTGGGTATGAACTATATCACCTAATTGTGATATCCAAAAATAACCCCAACACTATTAGATTTTTGATAAATATTTATTTACTTTAAGGATTAAAAAGAAAAACCAGCCAATAAAAACTGATGTATGCAATTTGGCCACAACTCTCTACTCTAACCCATGATCTTCCTTAGAATTTCAATTGCACACGTTTGTGTGCTTAGGTCTTCTAGTTATTGAATGTGATAGTTATTGAAAGTGGAGGGCATTTTTGGAAAAGGAAAAAGCGTGACCCAAATGGGGCGTTTGCTTTATATAATACAACAGATAGAAAATATAGAATACAAGAATAGATAGAATGGTATAGAAAATATAGAATACAAGAATAGATAGAATGGGTTTAGTGTAGTATCATTATAAAGTTTCATTCCTGTACTTTGATAATCAGTTTGCTTGCCTTCAAAGTGGATGAAATGAAAGTGAAAGTTGAATCCTTTAGTTTGCAGTTGTTTTGGTTCTGATGGCCAAATCAACTAAGTGTTGTGCAAATACTTGGGTCAATTAATTTGATTTAATTTTGAGCTACTTTTAAGATGTAATTAGAGATTATGCTAATGGATTCATGCATTATCTGCTCTATGCTTTAGCATAAAGTTTTATTTTTAGCTTTACACACACTACCACACTCCCATGAATAAAAGCACAGCTCCACTGCCTTTATACCCAACATATTGAAATAGATAACCTAAACAGGAGGAGGATTCTGAGGAATATGGAAGCCCTATTGTTTTGGCATCTGCAATTGCAGATATCATAAAGTCACGAACTGATGCACTTCTGAAGAAGACTAAAAGTGCAGTCTCTTCGAAGCCAATTGTCGTGAGAGCAGAATTTGCCCATTGTCCAAATCTCACCATTATTGATACGCCAGGTTTTGTTCTGAAGGTAAGTGGACAGAGAATGAAGATATGATGAAGAAAGGTTTGGGACTTCTATAAATATATATTTTTTCTGTTTGAGAATGAAGATATGATGAAGAAAGGTTTGGGACTTCTATAAATATATATTTTTTCTGTTTGCATTGGAATAATAGTTTGAAATAACATTGGCAGGCAAAGAAGGGTGAACCAGAGAACACACCAGATGAAATTTTGTCAATGGTGAAGTCATTGGCTAGCCCACCGCATCGCATCCTCTTGTTCCTTCAGCAGAGTAGTGTGGAATGGTGCTCGTCATTGTGGTTGGATGCTATTCGCGAAATTGATCCAACATTTAGACGGACAGTAATTGTTGTCTCCAAATTTGATAATCGGCTCAAGGTACAAATGCATAACTTTTCTTTAGTGGTTTTTGTATTGTATGTTCTTTAATGGGCAGAAATGAATTATAATGCAATGCCAAATGCTATCTTTCACTACATTACAAAAAAAGGCTGGGATTATTTAATAGCTACACACATTTAATGACTGATGGTTTGAGATACATAGCATTGCGATTGGTCTTTTTAAAATTTTATGCTGGGGGTATTTAATTTTCTAATTCTGGTTGTAAGAATTGCTTGGCGTAATGGAGGATGATATATACACATTAGTGAATGACTTCTTTATTGCTGCAAGAAAATGGAAATGATTACCACTTCGCTTCCTGCTTTTGAGTTTGCTTTAGTAGTTCTTTAGAAAAACTAGGATCAATTAAGGTTAGAGCATGCCCCACTTCACTATAACAATGCCTCCTACACTAGTAGACGAGCCTTGCGGGTCTCTCCACTTATTGCCAAAATGGTTTTGAGTTTGATGCTTTACCATGGTCTCACAGTTGGGCTTTCGAAGGTTTTGGGCAAGACAGTTTCAGTTTCATTGATTTAGTGATTCATTTCCCCCCGTTCATGTCATAGATGCATTTGTTATGTCTTTGGCTGTGGCTCTCTCTGATTCCTCCACTTCTGTTCAGTGCTCCTTCTTCTCTTCTGAAGATGATTTTGATCTTCCCATTACCCAGAAACTGTTGAATTTGCTTGCAAGTAAGATCACTGTCAGGAAAATGCTCAAGTTGACTTGCAATATGGGGCTGGAGCCGGAATTTGCCATCAGATATTGTTATTCCCAAAAGTCTTTTGGTTCTTCTGTCTACCTTTCCACATGTGAGTAGGGTCACCTGTGAGGTGGGTTTTAGAGCTTGTCCCACATTGGCTGTGAAGCATATACACTTCTAAGTAGGTGGTATGCTGTGTCAGACGCCAACACAACACGACACTCGTTGGACACTTCCCAACACCTATCGGACACGTCCAAATACATCCAATTATTTTTGTAAAAAATTTTATGGACTATGCATTAGACACTAGGGAAAAACATGTCTATCACTTAGAAACACATTATAAGTTTGAATAAAATAACTTGGAATCCAATAATAAAATAAAAACAGCGTAAATTATATCTAGTCTTCTTCTTTAGACTTAAAAAATTATTATTTTTATCTTTTAATAAATATTATATATATGACATATAATAATTACTTATCATTTTATATGTCAAATAATAAATATTTAAACTACATAATTTACGCATGTCCTTACATCTTGTGTCGTACGTTTTTTGAACATTTTCATGTCGGCGTGTCTACGTTGTGTCACATGCCTGTGTATAATAGTGCCTCCTAATCTAGTATGAGCCTTGTAGGCCTCTTCACTTATTGTCAATTGGTTAAAGTTGAATGCTTTGACAATTCATAGTGCTGGAAATTTGTGTTAATGCATATAATAAGATAGTGGCATATGATAGTGGTGTTGGTGGTAGATAGTGGCATGTATATAATATGATAGTGGTGTTGGTGGTAGATAATGGCATGTATAGAATATGATAGTGGTGTTGGTGGTAGATAATGGCATGTATAGAATATGATAGTGGTGTTGGTGGTAGATAATGGCATGTATAGAATATGATAGTGGTGTTGGTGGTAGATAATGGCATGTATAGAATATGATAGTGGTGTTGGTGGTAGATAATGGCATGTATAGAATATGATAGTGGTGTTGGTGGTAGATAATGGCATGTATAGAATATGATAGTGGTGTTGGTGGTAGATAATGGCATGTATAGAATATGATAGTGGTGTTGGTGGTAGATAATGGCATGTATAGAATATGATAGTGGTGTTGGTGGTAGATAATGGCATGTATAGAATATGATAGTGGTGTTGGTGGTAGATAATGGCATGTATAGAATATGATAGTGGTGTTGGTGGTAGATAATGGCATGTATAGAATATGATAGTGGTGTTGGTGGTAGATAATGGCATGTATAGAATATGATAGTGGTGTTGGTGGTAGATAATGGCATGTATAGAATATGATAGTGGTGTTGGTGGTAGATAATGGCATGTATAGAATATGATAGTGGTGTTGGTGGTAGATAATGGCATGTATAGAATATGATAGTGGTGTTGGTGGTAGATAATGGCATGTATAGAATATGATAGTGGTGTTGGTGGTAGATAATGGCATGTATAGAATATGATAGTGGTGTTGGTGGTAGATAATGGCATGTATAGAATATGATAGTGGTGTTGGTGGTAGATAATGGCATGTATAGAATATGATAGTGGTGTTGGTGGTAGATAATGGCATGTATAGAATATGATAGTGGTGTTGGTGGTAGATAATGGCATGTATAGAATATGATAGTGGTGTTGGTGGTAGATAATGGCATGTATAGAATATGATAGTGGTGTTGGTGGTAGATAATGGCATGTATAGAATATGATAGTGGTGTTGGTGGTAGATAATGGCATGTATAGAATATGATAGTGGTGTTGGTGGTAGATAATGGCATGTATAGAATATGATAGTGGTGTTGGTGGTAGATAATGGCATGTATAGAATATGATAGTGGTGTTGGTGGTAGATAATGGCATGTATAGAATATGATAGTGGTGTTGGTGGTAGATAATGGCATGTATAGAATATGATAGTGGTGTTGGTGGTAGATAATGGCATGTATAGAATATGATAGTGGTGTTGGTGGTAGATAATGGCATGTATAGAATATGATAGTGGTGTTGGTGGTAGATAATGGCATGTATAGAATATGATAGTGGTGTTGGTGGTAGATAATGGCATGTATAGAATATGATAGTGGTGTTGGTGGTAGATAATGGCATGTATAGAATATGATAGTGGTGTTGGTGGTAGATAATGGCATGTATAGAATATGATAGTGGTGTTGGTGGTAGATAATGGCATGTATAGAATATGATAGTGGTGTTGGTGGTAGATAATGGCATGTATAGAATATGATAGTGGTGTTGGTGGTAGATAATGGCATGTATAGAATATGATAGTGGTGTTGGTGGTAGATAATGGCATGTATAGAATATGATAGTGGTGTTGGTGGTAGATAATGGCATGTATAGAATATGATAGTGGTGTTGGTGGTAGATAATGGCATGTATAGAATATGATAGTGGTGTTGGTGGTAGATAATGGCATGTATAGAATATGATAGTGGTGTTGGTGGTAGATAATGGCATGTATAGAATATGATAGTGGTGTTGGTGGTAGATAATGGCATGTATAGAATATGATAGTGGTGTTGGTGGTAGATAATGGCATGTATAGAATATGATAGTGGTGTTGGTGGTAGATAATGGCATGTATAGAATATGATAGTGGTGTTGGTGGTAGATAATGGCATGTATAGAATATGATAGTGGTGTTGGTGGTAGATAATGGCATGTATAGAATATGATAGTGGTGTTGGTGGTAGATAATGGCATGTATAGAATATGATAGTGGTGTTGGTGGTAGATAATGGCATGTATAGAATATGATAGTGGTGTTGGTGGTAGATAATGGCATGTATAGAATATGATAGTGGTGTTGGTGGTAGATAATGGCATGTATAGAATATGATAGTGGTGTTGGTGGTAGATAATGGCATGTATAGAATATGATAGTGGTGTTGGTGGTAGATAATGGCATGTATAGAATATGATAGTGGTGTTGGTGGTAGATAATGGCATGTATAGAATATGATAGTGGTGTTGGTGGTAGATAATGGCATGTATAGAATATGATAGTGGTGTTGGTGGTAGATAATGGCATGTATAGAATATGATAGTGGTGTTGGTGGTAGATAATGGCATGTATAGAATATGATAGTGGTGTTGGTGGTAGATAATGGCATGTATAGAATATGATAGTGGTGTTGGTGGTAGATAATGGCATGTATAGAATATGATAGTGGTGTTGGTGGTAGATAATGGCATGTATAGAATATGATAGTGGTGTTGGTGGTAGATAATGGCATGTATAGAATATGATAGTGGTGTTGGTGGTAGATAATGGCATGTATAGAATATGATAGTGGTGTTGGTGGTAGATAATGGCATGTATACCGTGGACGTAGGCCGGTTTGCCGAACCACGTTAAAAGTCTTGTGTTTTTGCTTGTGAGTGTCCCCTGGTGTGCCCAAGATACGCAACAGTCAGACGCCAACACAACACGACACTCTTTAGACACTTCCCAACACCTATCGGACACGTCTAAATACATCCAATTATTTTTGTAAAAAATTTTATGGACTATGCATTAGACACTAGGAAAACACATGTCTATCGCTTAGAAACACATTATAAGTTTGAATAAAATAACTTGGAATCCAATAATAAAATAAAAACAACGTAAATTATATCTAGTCTTCTTCTTTAGACTTTAAAAATTATTATTTTTATCTTTTAATAAATATTATATATATGACATATAATAATTACTTATCATTTTATATGTCAAATAATGAATATTTAAACTACATAATTTACGCGTGTCCTTACATCTGGTGTCGTACCTTTTTTGAACATTTCCATGTCGGCGTGTCTATGTTGTGTCACATGCATGTGTATAATAGTGCCTCCTAAACTAGTATGAGCCTTGTAGGCCTCTTCACTTATTGTCAATTGGTTAAAGTTGAATGCTTTGACAATTCATAGCTTGTCTTAATGAAATGATTTGTCCCATTTTTTTTATTTATTTATTTTTTTACAATTTAAATTTCTGATTTGAGAAAATTAATTTCAGGAGTTTAGTGACCGGTGTGAAGTGGATCATTATTTGAGTGCAAGTGGTTACCTTGGAGAGAATACTAGACCATTTTTTGTTGCTCTGCCGAAGGACAGGAGCACAGTTTCAAATGATGAATTTCGCAGGCAAATATCTCAGGTGGACCTTGAAGTATTACGCCATTTGCGTGAGGGTGTTAGGGGGGGATTTGACGAAGAAAAGTTTAGGTCCTATATTGGTTTTTCCCGTCTCAGAGATTATTTGGAGTCTGAGCTTCAAAAGCGATACAAAGAAGCAGCACCAGCAACTTTAGCTTTGCTTGAACAGCGCTGCAGTGAAGTCACCGCTGAATTGGCCAGAATGGACTCCAAAATACAGGCTACTTCTGATGTTGCACATCTTCGGAGATCTGCAATGTTGCACACTGCTTCTATCTGCAATCACGTGGTGTGTAATTTTTGACATTTTTATGTTCAACTAAGTTTGTATACTGAGCTGCTGAATTCCTATTTATACCTAGTGGAACATGTAATTTTGTGCGTGAATTAATAACACACATGGTTGCTATTGTATGATTGTTAAAGGGGGCATTGATTGATGGAGCAGCTGATCCTGCCCCAGAGCAATGGGGGAAAACAACAGATGAGGAACAATCAGAAAGTGGTATTGGGAGCTGGCCTAGTGTTACAGCAGATATAAAACCTCCCAATGCCAGCCTTCGTCTGTATGGAGGAGCTGCTTTTGAAAGGGTTATGCATGAATTTCGCTGTGCTACATATTCCATTGAATGTCCCCCAGTATCAAGGGAGAAGGTAAGTTTACTCCAACGACTGTTTATCTTGGAATGGAAATTAGAATATAGTAGATTTGATAACATAAGCTATACAGGTGGCAAATATATTACTTGCCCATGCTGGCCGAGGTGGGGTTAGAGGAGTAACAGAGGCAGCTGCGGAGATTGCACGAGCTGCTGCCCGGTCATGGCTTTCTCCTCTTCTTGACACTGCATGTGATCGTCTTGCCTTTGTTTTGGGGAACCTCTTTGATCTTGCTGTGGAGAGAAACCATTGTCCAGACTCGGACTGTAAGAAGCCATCCAGTTTTCGTACTTTACATTTTCCATTAACAGATAGCTTCTTTCCCTTGAATGAAAAAATAAAAAATAAAGGGAAGTAACATCTTAAATTTCTTAATCTCTTTCAATATGGTTTTTCTGGAGGTAATAGAAATGACATTAGCTACTAGTGATTCAATCATCCAGTTATGACAAATTTAAATTATTATTATTTTTTTGCAGTGCAAGTATGTGATTGAATTTCCAGTTATTTTATGCTTTAGTAAATAATGCACCTTCACTCTTCTATTCTCTATCAAACTCAGAACTTCAATAGGTGATGTCTTTCTTATGGCGTCCATGCTTCAGAGCTTAAGCTAATGTTAGGGTAGCATTACCTGTTCCAGGGAAGAAACATAAAGAAATGGAAAATAAATAGTGAAAATCAAATGCCTGAAAAGTTTCTCCATCCTAGAATCCCAATCCATTAGTTTACGTGTTTTCTTCTTAAACTAATAGAAACATTGGTTATTCTTTCATCCTGCAGATGGGTGTAAAACTGGAGATATGGACGGGTATGTTGGTTTTCATGCTGCTTTAAGGCACTCTTACAGCAGCTTTATAAAGGATCGTGCAAAACAGTGCAAGCGATTAGTTCGGCACCACCTTGATTCAGTTACAAGCCCATATTCTGAAGTCTTTTACGAGAATAACTTCCTAGGGACTTATGGCTCGGGTGCAAACTCCATTTATAGATTTAACCAAGCTTCAGCGGCTTCGTTTACTCTTGAGCTATCTGATGGGGAGGCAGCGTTGAGAGGTGAAACCACGAAAGACCAAGAGAATATACCACCAGAAAAGACTGTCCAGCAAACCACACCAGGAAAAGTTCCAGAAGCCAGAGAAGCTCTTCGAGAAAGCCAAATGACTATACCCGAGACTCCTTCACCAGATCAGCCAAGTGAAGAAAATTATATTGGAGCTGTTAAGAAGGAACTTGGAAACTGCATTGAGATAGGAGCAAGAAAATGGCATCCTAGAATAATGGGCAATAGCAGAAATTCAGATCATTTGCAATCCCAAAATGGTGGTGGTTTTTTATTCAGGAGTGGGGATAATAACAGTTTAAGATCAAGGTCAGCTTACTCAGAGATCTGTTCTTTAGCTGCACAGCATTTTGCACGGATACGTGAAGTTTTGGTTGAGCGGAGCGTGACATCAACTTTAAACTCTGGTTTCTTAACCCCTTGGTAAGTTCCTAAACTTCTCCTTAGTAGGACCTATTTGCATCCACAGGGGCATGCATGTCCCCTAGAAACAAGGTGCTCATGATGATCACAGTTCTTTTATATTTTTCTCATAGATGTCAAGATGTTCTTTAGCTATGTTGTGTTCAATAGAAGCCTAATTGTATCAATTGATTTGCCAACTGGTCTACTATGGCTTCGTTTGGGAAGTTACTATTTTAGTAGGCTATTTTAGTTTTTAACTATTTTAGTAGGTTAAATTTTTGTGTTTGGGAAGATGATTGGATTTTTTTATGGTTGGATGTGATGTTTGTGAGAGAAAAAGTGAAATGATTATGGGTTTGATATGATATTTTGTCTTATTAGTTATTTTAGCCTATTTTGTCTTTTTGTGAATTTTAGCCTAAATTAAGCTATTTTTTTTCTTCCCAAACACCCCCTATGTATATGTATGTGTCTCACCAACATGCTTGGGGAGCATTTTTTTCTGTTGTTTTTTTGTTCACATTATGAGCACATTGGGCTGATTGCTCATTCCAGCTTTTTATTCCCTTTCCCTTGTCATTCCTTTCCTACGTCATTCCAGTCCTACATCATTCCACATTGGCAACCAAAGAGTGGGATGGGAATGTGCATTCCATTCCATTCAACCTTATTTTGTTTTCTCATTCTCTCATTCCATTCCCACTTCAATTCATTCCTACATACCAAACACAGCCTATAAGCACAGTGTAAAATGTCTGGAATACATCTACGCACTCAGACCAAACAGTAATGCACCATCCTCATTTCTTGCTTCCCACTCGTTTAATCACGTTTTAAGGGATTGAACAAAGCATTCTTCATTGATCTTCTCTGTAGAATGTATGCAAATGTTGGCTTGAGTGTGCCATTGTATTGATTGAGAAAGAGATTACCCTTAGACATCGGTCCATGAATCCTGCAAAGAAATGAGTACTTAAATCTATCTGCACAGGAAAATGCCTTTTGTTGAGACATCTAGGCTGCAAGCCTTGTGTCCTTGTCTTCTTTTTTCTCAACCAAATTGAACCAATCAATAGGATTGCCAATGGGACCCATGCCCAAACTCCGTGAACTAAAATTTTCTGTATCTGTTATGCTGTTTACATTGATTTTGCAACTTACTATTTTTGCTCTCTTTCATTTACACAGCCGGGAAAGGCTTGTGGTAGCACTTGGACTGGACTTGTTTGCGGTCAATGATGAGAAATTCAAGGACATGTTTGTTGCACCTGGAGCAATTGACATCCTACAAAATGAGCGGCAGTCTCTTCAAAAGCGCCAGAAAATACTGCACGCTTGCTTGAATGAGTTCAAAACCGTGGCATGTACACTTTGATGGAAGCCTTTCCGTCAGACAAAACTACATTGACACCACTAAGAGTTCATAGGTGCACCATCTTGTGAACATTTATGTTAAACTGTTGAAGTGTGAGTTTTCACAACATTCTTTCTCAGGGTGAGTTAGTTGCTTTCATTTGGTTCATTAGACTTTTTACCCCTATTGATTGTGATTGGATATTAAAATGATTTTGATTGCCGTATGTGCAGATTATGCTCTATAAATTGCTACCAAACCACAGGAATTGACTGCACGGGTTTCACATCTAGGGAGCTCGGCCTTAATTTTTATCTGGAATTTTCTTCTCAGGTTGAGTTACTCTCATTTGATTCATTATAGATGATAATACAGGTTGTGATTGTTCTTGATATGTTTGGTTCTTGAATTTGTTGAGAAAAATGAAAAGAAATGTCAAAAAGAAAAATAGCATTCTCATTTTCTTCATCTTCATTTTCATTTTCATGTTTTTTAAAATAAAAACAAAACAAAAAAAGTACAAAAACATCCTTTGTTTTCAATTTTGTACAGAATCCACCTTTTAGTTTTCTTAAAAAGTGAGTTATTTTGAAAATAAATAAATAAATAAAATTCCCGAAAACAGTTTGCCAAACAAGTTTGTTATTTGTGGATCAATACTTGGTTTCTTTTACTATTTTCTTTAAGTTGTGGCATCAATTGATTTGCATGATCATTTTGTTACACGGTCTTAGGTAGAACTCACTCTAAAAGCTAGCTATTAAGGTAAGGGTGCCCTCACGCTTATATGCTTAATATTAAATTAGTAGTTTGGTGATATGGGACTTCGCTTTACACCCTTCCTTACCCCCGGGAGGTGAGGGTGTCCTCGCGCTTATATGCTTAATATTAAGTGCTTGTTTTGCATCATTTAAAAAATACAAAAAGCCAAAAAGTCACTTAAAAAAGTAAAAAAAAATTATACTATTCACAATGTTTGGGTGGGAAAATGGGGCTGAGTACTCATAGGGCAAAAAGACATTTTTGCCCTTCACTGACATGCATAGCTCACGACTGTTTAAGAAAAAAGGAAAAAAAAAAAGAAAAAAGAAAAAGTCAAACAGTGCACCAGTGCAGCTCAGTGCACTGTGAGAGGGGAAGTGGCAAGGGCTTAGTGCTCAGTGCACTGTCAAAAGGGTAGGAAGGTGTGCTCAATGCACTGTTAGAAGGATAGGAAGGTAATTTTGGTATTTCATACAATATTTTAATACACATTTTTTCGTAAAAAGTCAAAAAGTGCACTTATATAGTTCATCTCAAATAACTTGTCAGTTAATAATCAGGCGATGTGACTTTACTTCACATCCTCTGTCACGCCCAACGTGTTCACTCAATGCTTGTGGTATGTAGGCCAAGGATATGCACCCTACCCATCCCTAAGTAGAGCTAAGTAAGGAATTCGTATAATTCGCAAACCAAACCGATCCAGTCCAATTCGGTAGGTTTGGTTTGGTTTTTAAATCCACGGTACGGTTCGGTTCTTGATTGGAAAATTAAGGAATCATGGTTTATGGATTGATTTTAGTATTCAGTTCACGGTTCCAGATTAGAATCAATCTGGACCATTTGTCATGTATTGTATATTTGGTCAATTTTCTATTTGTTTGCTCAATGCATCACTATTTTATTCTAGTAGGAAAGTCAATATGTAATTCAGAATCGTATTTAAATGGTTTGGTTCGGTACGGATTGGTCCTAGTAGGTCCACCCCTATCAGTACTTCGGCTCTGATATTATGTTACACAGTCTTGAGTAGAACTTAACCCCAAAAGCTAATTCAAGAGGTAAGGATGCCCTCACACTAGGGTTGTCAATGGATCAGATTTAATCCGAATCCGATCCGATAATCCGAATCCGTTTATAAAAAATCCAATCCGATAATTCGAATTCGTTTAATCCGTTTATTAAACGGATTGAATAAGAAAAAATCCGATCCGATCTGATAATCCGATAATCCGATCCGATTATTCTCAATTTGAATGAAAAAAACACAAAATTAAAAAATTAAAAAAAAAATCAAATTATCTAAAATTATAGCTCAATAAATAAATAAATGGATCGGATCGGATTATCGGATCGGATATCCGAAATCATCGGATTCGGATATCTATAATTGGATATGGACTAAATGGATTCGGATCGGATTCAGGTTTGTCTTAATCGGATCGGATTTGGATTTTGACAGATCCGATCCGAATCCGATCCACTTACAGGCCTACCTCACACTTATATGCTTAATATTATTTTTGTACTTGAGCGATATAGGATTTTGCTTCACACATTTTTGTACACAATCTACTTATGGGTTTTTGTCCCCCCCCCCACTTGGGGCCTAGTGTTACAGTAGATATAAAACCTCCCAATGCCAGCCTTCGTCTGTATGGAGGAGCTGCTTTTGAAAGGGTTATGCATGAATTTCGCTGTGCTACATATTCCATTGAATGTCCCCCAGTATCAAGGGAGAAGGTAAGTTTACTCCAACGACTGTTTATCTTGGAATGGAAATTAGAATATAGTAGATTTGATAACATAAGCTATACAGGTGGCAAATATATTACTTGCCCATGCTGGCCGAGGTGGGGTTAGAGGAGTAACAGAGGCAGCTGCGGAGATTGCACGAGCTGCTGCCCGGTCATGGCTTTCTCCTCTTCTTGACACTGCATGTGATCGGCTTGCCTTTGTTTTGGGGAACCTCTTTGATCTTGCTGTGGAGAGAAACCATTGTCAAGACTCGGACTGTAAGAAGCTATCCAGTTTTCGTACTTTACATTTTCCATTAACTGATAGCTTCTTTCCCTTGAATGAAAAAATAAAAAATAAAGGGAAGTAACATCTTAAATTTCTTAATCTCTTTCAATATGGTTTTTCTGGAGGTAATAGAAATGACATTAGCTACTAGTGATTCAATCATCCAGTTATGGCAAATTTAAATTATTATTATTTTTTTGCAGTACAAGTATGTGATTGAATTTCCAGTTATTTTATGCTTTAGTAAATAATGCACCTTCACTCTTCTATTCTGTATCAAACTCAGAACTTCAATAGGTGATGTCTTTCTTATGGCGTCCATGCTTCAGAGCTTAAGCTAATGTTAGGGTAGCATTACCTGTTCCAGGGAAGAAACATAAAGAAATGGAAAATAAATAGTGAAAATCAAATGGCTGAAAAGTTTCTCCATCCTAGAATCCCAATCCATTAGTTTGCGTGTTTTCTTCTTAAACTAATAGAAACATGGGTTATTCTTTCATCCTGCAGATGGGTGTAAAACTGGAGATATGGACGGGTATGTTGGTTTTCATGCCGCTTTAAGGCACTCTTACAGCAGCTTTATAAAGGATCGTGCAAAACAGTGCAAGCAATTAGTTCGGCACCACCTTGATTCAGTTACAAGCCCATATTCTGAAGTCTTTTACGAGAATAACTTCCTAGGGACTTATGGCTTGGGTGCGAACTCCATTTATGGATTTAACCAAGCTTCAGCAGCTTCATTTACTCTTGAATTATCTGATGGGGAGGCAGCGTTGAGAGGTGAAACCACGAAAGACCAAGAGAATATACCACCAGAAAAGACTGTCCAGCAAACCACACCAGGAAAAGTTCCAGAAGCCAGAGAAGCTCTTCGAGAAAGCCAAATGACTATACCCGAGACTCCTTCACCAGATCAGCCAAGTGAAGAAAATTATATTGGAGCTGTTAAGAAGGAACTTGGAAACTGCATTGAGATAGGAGCAAGAAAACGGCATCCTAGAATAATGGGCAATAGCAGAAATTCAGATCATTTGCAATCCCAAAATGGTGGTGGTTTTTTATTCAGGAGTGGGGATAATAACAGTTCAAGATCAAGGTCAGCTTACTCAGAGATCTGTTCTTTAGCTGCGCAGCATTTTGCACGGATACGTGAAGTTCTGGTTGAGCGGAGCGTGACATCAACTTTAAACTCTGGTTTCTTAACCCCTTGGTAAGTTCCTAAACTTCTCCTTAGTAGGACCTATTTGCATCCACAGGGGCTTGCATGTCCCCTAGAAACAAGGTGCACATGATGATCACAGTTCTTTTATATTTTTCTCATAGATCTCGAGATGTTCTTTAGCTATGTTGTGTTCAATAGAAGCCTAATTGTATCAATTGATTTGCCAACTGGTCCACTATGTATATGTATGTGTTTCACCAACATGCTTGGGGAGCATTTTTTTCTGTTGTTTTTTGTTCACATTATGAGCATATTGGGCTGATTGCTCATTCCAGCATTTTATTCCCTTTCCCTCGTCATTCCAGTCCTACCTCATTCCACATTGGCAACTAAAGAGTGGGATGGGAATGTGCATTCCATTCCATTCAACCTTATTTTCTTTTCTCATTCTCTCATTCCATTCCCACTTCAATCCATTCCTACATACCAAACATAGCCTATAAGCACAGCATAAAATGTCTGGAATACATCTACACACTCAGACCAAATAGTAATGCACCATCCTCATTTCTTGCTTCCCACTTGTTTAATCAAGTTTTAAGGGATTGAACAAAGCATTCTTCATTGATCTTCTTTGTAGAATGTATGCAAATGTTAGCTTGAGTGTGTCATTGTATTGATTGAGAAAGAGATTACCCTTAGACATCGGTCCGTGAATCCTGCAAAGAAATGAGTACTTAAATCTATCTGCACAGGAAAATGCCTATTGTTGAGACATCTAGGCTGCAAGCCTTGTGTCCTTGTCTCCTTTTTGCTCAACCAAATTGAACCAATCAATAGGATTGCCAATGGGACCCATGCCCAAACTCTGTGAACTAAAATTTTCTGTATCTGTTATGCTGTTTACACTGATTTTGCAACTTACTATTTTTGCTCTCGTTCATTTACACAGCCGGGAAAGTCTTGTGGTAGCACTTGGACTGGACTTGTTTGCTGTCAATGATGAGAAATTCAAGGACATGTTTGTTGCACCTGGAGCAATTGACATCCTACAAAATGAGCGGCAGTCTCTTCAGAAGCGCCAGAAAATACTGCACGCTTGCTTGAACGAGTTCAAAACCGTGGCATGTACACTTTGATGGAAGCCTTTCCGTCAGACAAAACTAGATTGACACCACTAAGAGTTCATAGGTGCACCATCTTGTGAACATTTATGTTAAACTGTTGAAGTGTGAGTTTTCACAACATTCTTTCTCAGCGTGAGTGAGTTGCTTTCATTTGGGGCCGTTTGTTTTTAGAGGTAAAATGAAGGGAATTGATAGTGAAGGAATTAATAGTGATGGGATTGAGTAAAATTGTGTTTGTTTTGATGATAATTATTAGTAAGGGTGCAACTCGGGCGGGTTCAGTCGGGTTGGGAGGTTGTCCAAACTCAGTCCAAGTTGTGCTAAGACCTACCCAAGCCCGCCCAAGCCCAAATTGTAACCCGAGGTTGTTTGTCCAAGCCTGACCCGAGTTAAACCTGAGTTGCCCAAGTTGCCCAAGTTGTAAATGAATTTTAGTTTTTTTTTTTCTTTCTTGTAATTACATTATTAAATTATTAAAATTTGACTCTATTTACAATTTTTTTTATTTATAGAAAATCATTAATACCATCAAAATAAATAATTTATATAATGTAAGAGATATGCCACTATAGTAGTTCTTACAATCTATGAGTAAAAATAAAAAGAAAAAAAAGTAAGATTTTATATTATTTGTATATATAATATATAATATATATTCAATATGATTTAATAATATAAATTACTTTAATATCATGTAATGCCTACTAATTTATATTTATATTTAATATTTTTATATATCTATATATGTATAATTCGGGCTTCGGGTTGCTCGGGTTGTTTAACATCTTTGCCCAAGCCCGTCCAAATTTAATTCGGGCTTCTGAATTTTCGACCAAGCCCATACCGAATTTAAAAATATTTTGTCCAAGCCCTAAAAAAATTCGAACTGGGCTCGGGTTGCTCGGGTTGACCCCGCCCAAGTTGCACCCCTAATTATTTGTGTAAGGATTGTTAAATTATTTTTATATAAAATAATAAAACAAATAAAAAAAATACAAAAACATTAGACATTAATGTTTTAAAAAAAATGTCTAACATGTAAAAAATTTTAAAAAAAATAAAAATAAAATAAAAATTTTCTAGAAAAAAATAAAACAAATAAAATAATGATTTTTACTTAACAAAAAAAATAAAAAATTAAACATTAATGTTAAAAAAAAATGCCCAACATGTAAACAATAAAATAAAAAATAAATATAAATATAAATAAAAAATTTTAGTCCACAGGACTATTTTTTTAATATCAAGTCTTAGAGGCCCATCCGAATTCAGTATCAATCCCCTCCTCATCTCTCAAAACAAACACAATATTAGTAGGTCCTATCTCACTACCAATCTCAATCATCTCTCTAACTCTCCAAATAAACGGGCCCTTGGTTCATTAGACTTTTTATCCCTATTGATTGCGATTGGATATTAAAATGATTTTGATTGCCGTATGTGCAGATTATGTTCTATAAATCGCTACCAAACCACAGGAATTGACTGCATGGGTTTCACATCTAGGGAGTGCGGCCTTAATTTTTATCTGGAATTTTCTTCTCAGGTTGAGTTACTCTCATTTGATTCATTATAGACGATAATACGGGTTGTGATTGTTCTTGATATGTTTGGTTCTTGAATTTGTTGAGAAAAATGAAAAGAAATGTCAACAAGAAAAATAGCATTCTCATTTTCATTTTCATTTTCATATTTTTTAAAATAAAAACAAAACAAAAAAAAGTAAAAAAACACCATTTGTTTTCAATTTTGTACAGAATCCACTTTTTGATTTTCTTAAAAAGTGAGTTATTTTGAAAATAAATAAATAAATAAAATTCCCGAATACAGTTTGCCAAACAAGTTTGTTATTTTTGGATCAATACTTGGTTTCTTTTACCATTTTCTTTAAGTTGTGGTATCAATTGATTTGCATGATCATTTTGTTGCACGGTCTTAGGTAGAACTCACTCCAAAAGCTAACTAGTAAGGTGAGGGTGCCTTCACCCTTATATGCTTAATATTAAATTAGTAGTTTGGCGATATGGGACTTTGCTTTACACCCTTCCTTACCCCTGGGAGGTGAGGGTGTCCTCGCGTTTATATGCTTAATATTAAGGCCAAGTTTGGGATCCCCCAAAAAATCCAAAAAGTCAAAAAGTCACTATTCTATTTAAGTCACATCATCTTATTTAAGTCACATCACCTCTCTAACACATCACTTCAAACCCAACCCAAATCCAACCCATATTTCATAAAAAGTCAAAAAGTGCACTTATTTAGTCTTCCCAAACTTGGCCTAAGTGCTTGTTTTGCATCATTCAAAAAAGATAAAAAGTTAAAAAATCACTAAAAAAAGTAAAAAGGTTTATACTATTCACAATGTTTGGGTGAAAAAATGGGGCTGAGTACTAAGAGAGCAAAAAGACATTTTTGCCCTTCACTGACTTGCACAGCCCACGACTGTTTAAGAAAAAAGAAAAAAAAAAGAAAAAGTCAAACAATGCACCAGTGCAGCTCAGTGCACTGTCAGAAGGGTAGGAAGGTGTGCTCAATGCACTGTTAGAAGGGTAGGAAGGTAATTTTGGTATTTCATACAATATTTTAATACACATTTTTTTGTAAAAAGTCAAAAAGTTATCCCAAACAACCATCTTTTTTTTCTCTACTTTTTTAGCTAAAAAGTTAAAAAGTTTACTTATATAGTTCATCTCAAATAACTTGTAAGTTAATAATCAGGCGATGTGACTTTACTTCACATCCTTTGTCACGCCGAATGTGCTCAGTCAATGTCTGCGGCATGCAGGCTAAGGACATGCATCCTACCCATCCCTAAGTAGAGCTAAGTAAGGAATTCGTATAATTTGCAAACCAAACCGATCCAGTCTAATTCGGTAGATTTGGTTTGGTTTTTGAATCCACGGTACGGTTCGGTTCTTGATTGGAAAATTAAGGAATCATGGTTTATGGATTGGTTTTAGTATTCAGTTCACGGTTCCAGATTAGAACTAATTTAGACGGTTTGTCATGTATTGTATATTTGGTCAATTTTCTATTTGTTTGCTCAATGCATCACTATTCTATTCTAGTAGGAAAGTCAATATGTAATTCAGAATCGTATTTAAATGGTTTGGTTCGGTATGGATTGGTCCTGGTAGGCCCACCCCTATCAGTACTTCTACTCTGATACCATGCTACACAGTCTTGAGTAGAACTTAACCCCAAAAGCTAACTCAAGAGGTGAGGATGCCCTCACGCTTATATGCTTAATATTATTTTCGTACTTGGGCGATATAAGATTTCGCTTCACACATTTTTGTATACAATCTACTTATGGATTTTTATCCCTCCCCATTTTTTTTTGAGTATGATATTTAATGTAAATGTTCCGTCTCTCTCTCTCTCACACACACACAGCATCCAGATTTGGCACAGCCTGCTTAGGTGATTCTAGGAAGGGTGGAAACTTTCTCAGATGTTACTCGTAAATATTATAATTTATTTAGGCTTGTGAAGAACACAATGGAAGCATAAAACAAAAACAGACAGCTAATCTCTTTATAATATATTATAAATCAGCACACCCTGTAAAAGTATTCAAGAACTATGTGATGCGTAATACATGAACTGAAGTGGTCCCTCTTACATGCCTTATATCTCCAGTCCCTAACTCCACCACGGACCTAGTCCAATGGCGGTGTTTGAGAACAAATTTTTTGGATTTTTTTTTTTATTTTTTTTCATTAAAAGGCATATTGGTTTCAAAATCAAAGAAAACAAATTCAAATAAAATATCACATCAAACTTCATAATCATTTTACTTTTTTTTCTCACAAATATCACATCAAATCACAAAAAAACCCAATTATCTTCTCAACCATAAATTTTTTTTTCTCTAATAATATTCTACAACTAAAAAAATCTAAAAAAAACCCACTTCCTAAACACTCACATTATATAGTTTGTGTGGAATTTACAATAGCAGGTCAGTAGCACCCTTTGAATATATTATATAATGATTCTGAGAAATGTAGAAACACAAATCGGTCATAGATTGGATATAACCCTCTCACATGAGATGAATCTTACACTTATATGAAGAATTGTTTCCAATTTTATGATTGATTTCTGTATTAAGTAGAAGAACTCTAAGCATTGGTTGCAAGTTCAGTTTCTTCAGATTTGAATTGTCACCACACATATACTGTTATGTTCAAGCTCTTGGTTCAGCCACTGATGTCAAACTGCTTGTTTACTGCTTGTTTACTGGGGGTAAATAAATACAATCAGCTTGCTTGATTTCATTTTTCAGAAAATACTTTTTAAAAAAATTTACATTTTTATTTTTTGCATATTTTTTTTGTTTTTATCAAATTTTTTTAATATTTTAAACAATTTTTTTACTTTTTAGACGCACGTAACATAAATACACTTAAAAAGTAAAAAAATTATAAAAAAAATCTTTTAAAAATTCACTAAATACCAAAATTACAAAAAATATATATAATAATTCAGTACATTTTTTGTATTTTTATGTATTTATTAATTTTTTTAAATATTTTTTCATATTTTTTTTACTTTTTAGATATATCTAACTAAGGTGCATCTAAAAAAGTAAAAAAATGTTTAAAATTTAAAAAATATTCACTAAAAACAAAAGAATACGAAAACTAAAAAACTCAATTTTTAAAAAACTTAATTTAGAAAACTCAAACCAAACACATTAAATGATATTATAATCATCATACGTACTTTTATATCACATTTGATTTATTATATGAGTTGTCATTACTGGATTAGAAAACAGAGGATATGCATTGGTTGAATGAGTTCTAATATTATGTAAGTTTTTAATTTTTAATATAGTAATGACAATTTATAAAGTAAGGCCAAGTTTGAGAAGTGCCAAATAATTCATCTTTTTATTTTTTTATTTTTTTTCATCACATTACCTCTCTACTTTTCTGCACATCTTTTCGTAAAAAGACAAAAAATGTACTTATTTAAGTCATCCTAAACAATCCCTAAATCAAATGTGATATAAGAATGTGGTGATTGTAGCATTATGGTAACAAATCTATAATGAGTGATGCTAAGGGCCCTAAATAATTTATCAAATTTTCTACTAGGTGTGGGACGCACACACATGTGGGTTTGTGCGGGTCTCACACCCACATGAGAGGTTTGATAAAAAATTTAATAGATTTTTTGAGGTTCATAGCATTTTTCATTTATAATAGATGAGTGTGTAAGAAAAAAAAGAAGCCATTAAAACCTATGTTTCTGTACTCTATATATATATATATATATACTAGTGGTAAACCGTGCTATGTATGGCATGTAAAAAAATTAATAATATATTTTTATACAAAATAATATAAATTTTTGTATGCAAATTATGAAAACAAAGAAGATTGAAATTTATAATTTAAGTCCTACAATTTTATCACATTTTATTTATTATTTTTTAATTTGTCACAAATTTAATCATGTAACTTTCAACCCTCTTTATTAAAA